TAAATATATATAAACAAAAAAAGAAAATTACGTACCTTTTTATAAAGTTAAAAACGCAATGATCATTAAACAGATGATTTTAAGGTCGACAGATCGTAGAAACGTATTAAATATGGGCTCTTACGTTTTCTTCTTTTACTTAATTCATTTATTTCAATAATTGATGTTTATCATACTATATATTTATAAATTATGGAGACCTCTAATACCTTGTCTTTCTTTATTTTTATCTAGTCTCAATTTCTTTAAATATCTACAATTACTTTTTAGCGTCTCCGATGGACGTATGAAATAAACTCTTATGAATTATCCAGTTTCAAAGTCTCAAATTCTGCATCGATTATAAAATTCGACGTCCTATCACAGTCTCGTTATCTCTCTCTCTATATTTGTATTTTGTTTTACATCCCTTATTTATAAATTCAGTTTCACAATAAAATCTCGTAATTCCAGTACGTAATACTTTGATAAATAGTACAAATAATGAATGATTCTTTAAAAGAAGTTTTTTATCTTCTCAATTTATGTTTTATATCTTCTCAAATATTAACTTCGAATCCTCTATGCTGTAAAGCTTTGTTTTACACAAAAATTCCGATATTTGTTTACAAATGTTTTTTTATTTTGTGAGTAGTAACAGCAAAAACACCTTATAATTATATTTTCTACATTTGTTTTTACGCATACAATTTAGATTTTTTTTTCAAGTGTTATTAATTGTTTACGTTTAAGCAAATTTATAAAACAAGAGAAAGCTAATGTTTATTAAGAAACACATTAAAACATTGATAGCTTCGACCACGCCCTTGTAGTTAGTACAGAAAGCAGCAACAAGAAAGGTGGCGCGCGAAGTTTCCAGGTTTTTCTACTTCTTTTCTTTTTCTCCCTTTTTTCAATTTGTTGCAATCTCCTATTTTATTTTATTTCACTCTTGAACTAAGTGTGTTAATATAATTTCTATGCTTATTATTCACTATAATCAATATTCATCTTCAAAACTGTAACTTCTTGAGGATGCAAGGTCGAAAAAGAAACTGATTAAATGTAAGATCGTAAAAACGAACTATAAATAAAACAATAAATTGCAGGATGATCATCCGATTTTCGGTTGCCTAAGTAGAGCTAAGATAACTTGTTGTTATTAGTGCGAATGTATATTTTGATATGTCTGTGGGAGGAAAGTATGTGTGTGTGTGTGTATGCGCGCGCGTACGTGCGTATTATGCGTGCGTGCCCGCGTACTTAGACGTTATCTTGATAGAAGTCTCTCGTTATAAATATCTCGTATATAAATTATTCGATGTGGACTTAGATATTTGGAAGTTTCCTTGTAAAGGAATGAATGAATGAACGAACGGAATTTATTATAAAATGAAGGGATAATAATATTGCAGGTTTAACGGTATCTACAACGCAATGCCTTTATGTGGTGCGGTAACTAAACTGACGGCTACCCGGCGAGGTTCAACCGGGCCAAGCCCGGCTAGGGCGGTTCGCATTCCACACCCCTCGTATAGTGCTGGTGAGGGTGGGAAAAAGCGGCGCCGTAGCCGCTTCCGCCGTTTTCTATCGGTGACGCCGGCGCATTGCTTCCTGAAAGTGCAAAAGGGTATATAAGCTAAGAGAGCTTGATTATCGATTCCTGTGCACCCGCCTGTTGGTTTTCACGCGTCCTTTTTACTTTGTGAAGGTTTTCCAGTCTTACATCAGGTTCGCCAACCTTTTCAAAGGAAAATTTTTAGGATGTGAACTGAACAAAAATCAAGGCTGACTAGTAAATACAGCACTTGGGATAAAATACACTGAAAATAGTATTATTATGCATTAATTCAAGAAATTTTTAATAACAAATAGTTTACTAATGTCGGAAATAGACAAATTTACAATTAAAATAATCATTGTAATATTTTACATATAATTACTTAAATCGTTATAAGTAATATATTTACACATTTATTAATTTCTTATTATACCCACAAGTTGTCTTTATAATATCAAATGTAATATGTTAAAATATAAAATATCCAGAGTAAAGTTAATTTTTTAATTTATTGTCTTATTATTCTCTATTTTATTTTGTTTAATTATTGAAGTATTAATTATTAAAACTAATTAATTATTGAAGAGTCTTGTAAACAACAGTCAAATGTGTATTTACCTATACAATCTGTCCCAAATATTTGTTAAATATATATTAAATATATATTTAATATAAAATATTAAATATAATTAAATATATCCCAACCCAATCTAACATATATATATATATATATAATACTTATATAAATGAAGTTGCACATCTCCCCCCCCCTCTCTCTCTCACACACACGCTCACTCACTCACGTCTATTGATTTAACAAAATTCTGTGTCAAGGTAACCATCGTAGTTTGTCTCCAAGCTGTCTCAAATGCAACAATATTACGACAGTGATATTGAGGCGCTCATCTTGTGCTCAATATGTCAGATTTGGGTGCGTATTCAATGTCATTAAAATGTAAATCAGGTAAGATTAGTTCCCTTCAAAACGAGAAATTCACAGTCTAATATTCGTAATTATCGATTGATTATATATCTTTAGACAGTAATTAAGATGAATTAAAAAGTTAAATCGAAAGACGTAAGAAAGTTATCAGGGTGCGGAATTGTGCAATCCAGATACACGATCAATAGCCACAGATCTCGTCTTTAACGACCGCTAATATTAATATGGAGCTCATGTCAAATTTCCGAACCTACAGTCGGTGCTTTAATGTGTATTTTACCCTACTTTCACCTGATAAATTTCGTAAACAATATTTTCTAATCTTTATTTCGTTAGAAGAAAAAATTTGACATAAGTAATAGCTTTTTCGTAACTATACCCCGTGTTTTTAAAAATGTTTTATATAAACAAAATATACAGAAAGTAAATATTTTTAGTTAGTTATGATTTCTTTAATACTTATAACAACAAAAATTAATAGAATATACGAAAAAATGACTTTATTTTTATCGTACGTTAAATCTTACCCAATGCTATTTCCAACATCATTTTCCAATATTTTTTAAAAAATATAACTATGAATTATGAATATTCAGTTGAATTATGAATTTTGTTGACAACAAAAGTGTTCGAAAAGATTATAGTTTATTCATTAATTATTTTTTATATTTAATAGAAACTGTATACATTAGTAAGTTATTATTCTATTTATTTTCTATATTATATCATAAATTAAACAAATATTAAAATTAAGCAAATAACTAATAATAGGAGTAAATTAATTAAAATAAATGTTAATTGGTTCAATTCCTCAATAATTTTGAATTAATTTATGTAATACTGTAATAATAAATATAAAATTTCGATGATTATGAAGATTAATTATATAATATAGAGAAAACGAGTAAAACGATATTTTATAGAAATAGGCAAAATGATCTAAATAGCATCAAGAGAATTGATACCTATATTTAATTTATCACACTTATATATTGAGCTAAGATTCCATTATAAACGTAAGAAAAAAATGAAAACATGATTTTTATTTAAATTCAAACTCTAATAAAATAATTAAACATTATAGATTGATAATGATAGTTATATCATTCATTCGAAAAAAATGAATAATAGTATCCAATTTAAAAGATAAATTGGTAAAAAAGTCAATTAAAATTATCTTTATAAAAATTAAAACTGATAATTAATTATAAGTAAACTTTATTTTTAATATTTAAGACTATTTATATTCCTTATACTTTGAAAGATAAACATTAATATTGTTGTTTTAAAGACCTAAAAACTTAGAATATTAATTATAATATATAACAGAAAAATTAATTTTAATATTGACAAAAAAATTTTGCTTAGTATTATATATAGTTTATATATAAACTTTTTATTAAGTTGATTAATTTTATTGATTATTTGCACAAAAATTTGATTTCATCTTGGTCTTGAGCATTTCTTTATGTTAATCCAATTTCATTATAAATGTATTCACATCTTAATACTATACGAAAAAATATGGAAATTTCTATTAATTAAGTATTTGAAAGTATAATAAGATATTGTAACATGTACTATTTCATATATATTTCTGAATTTTAATAAATACCGTAAGCATATGAACTTGAATATACCTTAAATTAAAAATTCAAAAGTAAATTCTAATTAAAATTCAATATGCATAAAAATTATATTAATTCTCATTGATTATCATTATCATGAAAAATCTTAAATGTTCTTTTAAAATTGTTTAAAAATAGTGAAACTCCAAGTTTTAAAAAAGTGAAATTATACGAATAATTTTATCTTATACATAACAGAAATAAAAATGATGCTCTCATTATTCATTGAAAACGTCAATATATAATATTAGTTTCTACATACAACGACAGTTTTAGTAATTTTTTTTTTTAATTTTCATATTCCATACTATTTTTAATTCAAAATTGAATATATTCATAATGCAATTTTATTGGATAAAATAAAATTTTTTTTTTGTTATTTGAAATGAGTTCAGTAAAGATTATTACGTATATAAATTAAAATATTTAATGTAACATTATAATTGTAATATGAATATATATATACTGGCAATTATTAATCTATAATCATTCAAAATTAAATTACAGGTTAAAAATTCAATGTTTAAATTCTGTAATTAAGTCTGTTTTCTGTACTTCAGTTTCTTAAGCCATTTTCGCTATTATCGGTGTAAATAAAATCAATCAAAAAAGCAATAAGTCATGAAAATAATCATAATAACATGAAACACAAAAGTTAAAAAAATCAATGAAATCACGCGAACTTAGTAACATTGCTATAATGTACGTGTTGGTTGTAAAGGAACGGTACAGTCACGCGAAGCTTGTGAAGTTTTCACATTTCATTGAAGGGAAATTATGGAGTGAAAATTTGACAACGTTAAAGAAGGGAGACAACATGCTAAAATATTGGCTGAAACTAAAATCTCTTCAGTCTTATTTTGCGTGTTTTATAGTAAGGGTCTATCTAATGGCGTTTCAGCTTGAGGGCAAGGATCCTCTCGAGCATACTACTCTTTATAAACGTGCCGGTTAGAAATCTCGTAATTATCTTCTTCTTTATTTCATATATTACTTTATTAAATCATTGTTTTTTATTTTCATTTATAACTTGCCTTTTGAAAGACTTTTGATTTTATGTTATAAGCTAATTAATCAATTTCTGATAATATTAACTATATTTTATCTTACTCTATCTTTAAAAAATCAAATTTAATTATGCCGAAATATATCAATAATTTTATAATGATAATATTTTAATATTATAGTGAATATGAATACGATTAATTAACAATTTTCTATCTTGCAGAAAGCGAAAATAGCGATGTGGAAGGTGGACTAAGTAATGTGAACAAACTTGTAATCCGTCCACTAGGTCATAGTGGTAAAGCAAAAAGGGGTCACCTGTGTTTTGATGCATCCTTTGAAACTGGTAATTTGGGACGTGTTGATCTTGTTTCTGAGTTTGAATATGATCTTTTTATACGGCCGGACACTTGTAGTCCACGATTACGACTTTGGTTCAACTTTACTGTAGATAATGTGCGCAAGGAACAACGCGTAATCTTTAATATTGTTAACATTTCCAAGAGTAAGAATCTTTTTCGGCAAGGCATGACACCTCTAGTAAGAAGCACTAGCCGAATCAAGTGGCAGCGACTACCATTGAATCAGGTCTTCTATTACAAGTCCATGCAAAATCAAGATCACTACGTACTTAGTTTTTCATTTGCCTTCGATTATGAAGATGAACTCTATCAATTTGCACTCACTTATCCATACTCGTACACTAGATACTTAGGTCACTTGGATAATCTGATATTAAGGTATTTTCATAAACATACTGTGTTCAGATTGAATATTATCTTACAATTCACCAATAAATAAAAACATAAAATCAATCTTTTTATAATTTTTTGTAATTATAAATTATATATAATATAAATATTTCTTATAAATAAAACGTTCTAAATAAAAGCTTCTAAATTATAAGTTATTATGAAAAATTTTCTTGAGCTAAAAGATTATAAAATATTTATTGATTAATTATGTTCTACATGTATTATTAATATTACACATTATATATTATTATTGTAGAATATTTAAAATAGAAATTGTTTAAGAAATTAATTTAATATTTAATTAAAATGATGTCGTGTTAAAAGACCAATAAATCATGAATCAATCTATAATAATATATTATATTCATTGATATAATTTTGTTCTGGTAATTTTAAAGTAAATTATAATAATAAAATATTAGATATTTTAAAGATATTTTTATTGTTTCTAATCAGGTATCCCATAATGAAAAGGGAAACTCTAGCAAATTCAATTCAGAACAGAAAGATTGAACTTTTGACAATCTCGACTGAAAAAAAAATTTATATGACTACTGCGAATCAACATGAAAAAGAGCATCAATCACGAAAAGCAGTTGTGATATTTGGACGAGTTCATCCTGGCGAGTCACCGTCGTCCTTCATATGTCAAGGGCTCATAGATTTTCTCGTAAGTGCCCATCCGATTGCTAAGATTCTTCGTAAGTACATCGTTTTCAAGATCGTTCCCATGCTGAATCCAGATGGAGTTTATGTTGGAAACCATCGGTATGATATTTAATTATGCTAATCTACTATGCCTGCTATATATATTATTTTACTTAATTAGCCTTCATTGGTTTCATAAAATAAATTTCATTTATCTATAATAAAATGAATGAAATAAAAAATTAATATATAAATATCAGATAATATTTATAATACATGTAATGATTACTCAGAATTCTGTTTTTATTCAAGATACATTAAAAAATAAAGTGTTAAGTAAAGCCTCAATAATTATGAAATAATTATAAATTTTAATAAATGAAATTTAATTAATTAAAATTTTATAAGTTTCTTGTAGTTCTTTATAGTATCTAAACGTTTGATTTAACACTTAAAAAGGATTTTTAATTAATAATAAATTAGTTATGTATTAGAATTGTTTAATAAAAATGTTGAAATGATTAATTTAAGTTTTTAAATAATAAGTTTGTAAATGAAAAGATTCAATTAAATATATATTTCTAAATATATATTCATATTTAGATATATATCACATATTGGATACAATTTTAATAGTACAATTATAGTTTAAACAATTTACATAGCAAATTTATTTGATCATTTTCAATAATCAAAAATGTTAAAAAATGATTATATACTTGTTATTTAGATTTTCATTCTTAATACTATTTTTTTATGGATAATTAACTATATATTAACTATATACTATATACATCATTCATATATTGGCTCATTTTAATAACTTTAACTAAATATATAAATAGAATAATAAAATTTTACATATTCTAAATTGTATTTAAAGTTTTTCTTTTGAAGAATTTCAAATTTTAATCAAAGATGTCTATTAAAGGCTTAGTATTAAAAATATATATTGCATAGCATAAAAAACTATTTTAATAATATTAACGTGATATAGATCAACATTGCTGGGAATGGATTTGAATCGTTCATGGAGTCGAATCTCAAAATGGATACATCCAACACTTTTAGCCTGTAAAGCTTTACTTACGTCACTTGATAAAGATCCAAAAATTCCACTTGATTGCGTACTTGATCTTCATGCACATTCAAATGCTACTGGTGTTTTTATATATGGAAATACATATGACGATGTTTATAGGTAAAAAACAAAACTCTATTATTGACTAATAATATTGTATATTCGATAAATGGATCGAATTATAATTAACTTGGATAAATTTCAATAAGTATAATATTCCTTTCTTTTTATTATTATTTATATAACTATATGGAACATTATTAGTATTTAAATCAATAATAATATAAAATGCGGCATTATTATTTTGCCTCTATTTTATAGTATCATTTTTTATTATTTAAAATTCTCATAACACTAATACATATTTTATTATATTTGAATTATGATTTAATATATAATTTAAAACTAAATCAATTAGTTACTTTATTAAGATATTAAATACATAATTAAAAAGCGTCGTCTTGTGCTACAGATAAATAACTGTAATATTATGTTACATGTATTTTTAAAAATCAACAAAAACAATAATGCCCTCTTTTTAGAAATATAAATAAATAAATAAATTCAAAATATACCTTAATAAATTATGAAAATTACAATTTTATGTAATATTTCATCAATTTGCTTATTTTGTTAAATCAAAAAGTTCTTTTGTTATTAATGATTATCTTTTCTTGTAATACTTTAAAATATTAAGAAATAATTAAGACTGCAGGTACGAACGTCACATAGTTTTGCCTAAGTTTTTAACTCAACTGGCAGAGGATTATGAATTAAGCAATACAATGTATAATCAAGATTCTCATAAAGAAGGAACCGCAAGGCGATTTTTCTGTTCAATATTAAGCAAACGTGTTAATTGTTATACTCTACATGTATCTATGTATGGTTATACACGAAAAGGAACAACAGAAATATTGCCATATACTGAAGAAAGTTGTATCCTTTTTAAATTCATTTTTAAGCTCCTTTATTAAAAAACAAATTTATTTTTCCTTCTTAGTTTCGCATTAGAAAAATTCTTATGATACTATTTTGTCTTTAGTCTAAAAATATTTCGTGATTAAAATCACGAATTTCAATTTAAAAGTAACTAAGTTAAAAATATATAACGTTTCTAAACAAAAATATATTTATATATTATTTATTAATAACATTATTATTGTTATTTACATTCACCGAAACTTCATTACTATACAAAAATGGATATTATTTAATTACCATTTTTTGTAAATTATATTTATTTTAAAGCTATATTTATGTTAAATGCTACCTAAGATACTTAATATTTACACCCTTTTTACGACAATATTTTTTAATTACATTATACTTTTAAAAACTTATTTATGAATGAAAAAAATAATTAGAATAGCAACAAATATATATTAATTTTTTTAAATAGATCTGCATTATTATATACATTAAATTATCTAAAACTAATTTCAAATAGTTAATTAGTAAATTTCATTTAATTAACCATTGTAAAGTAAAAATTAATATAAACTGTATTACTAATATGTATTAATAATACTAAATTTTATGGCATATTATATAAAAATTGTTAAATTACCTTATATGAAAAATATAATAAGTTGTACTATAATTTTATGATTCATAAACCAAATTTAATCGATATTTAAAATAATTTGGTCTCGATATAGTAGTTTTATAAGCTATAGTACTATTATATTGTAAAATATAATAGTGCACATTCCGCCTTGATAAAAAACAGATTACAGGATTGGAAGAAATTTAGCAAGGGCCCTGTTAGAATATTATAAGCTAATGGGCTTAATACCATTTGGACTTCCGGATCAGCCGTCAAATAAACATACCAGTCGTTCACGTACACGATATTGCGTGCCACCACAATTACGACCAAGAACTGCAAGAGCGCTTGCACCTCTACATCTAGCCGTTATTCACGAGTAAATAACGAAATTGATAGTTCACATTAATTGTTAATGAATATTACTTCTACAAGTATATTAGATACGATAGATCTTATTTAACTAAGATAATTCCTAATTTAAAAAATATTTAACACACCAAAAAATTTCTTGTGATTATAAACTTTAAAAGTGAATTTCTAAAAGATAAATTTTTGATTCTTAAATTTGTTACAATTTGATTCAACTTTATTACTCCTAATTGATTAATGTTTGGATTTAAAAATATACAAATACTATACATGAAAATGATTATTAAAGGAGAATTACTATTATTTTGACATAATATATATATGTTTCAAAAATTGTTTATTCATTAATTAACTAAATACGTTACTTTTATATAGTTGAGTTGGAAATAAGTGTAACTTCTGTTTTTTTTACGTCAAAGAAATTAATTCATAATAAATTTATAATTTAAATAAATTTGAAAATGTAAAAAACTTTATCTAAAATAATAATTTATATTAATTGTGAACAAAAAATTGTGCATATATGCGCATGTATCACTTTTGCATTTGAGTATGTGCAGTATTTACTATTTTCCTTAACAGGTACTTTCCAGTAGAGGAGAAGGGGAAATTGAATCTTGGCACTGCTTTAGAGCAGTATAAACAGCAGCGGTATCAATCAATGATTCGTATGAATGGCGATACAGGCGTTGCTACTGCCACGTGACGTAAGTTTCACTACTACAAAGCCAACTCCGAGAACCGCAGCCGGCAAGCCTTTATCCACAAAAAATCAAGTAAAGAGCCGAATCTCACCATAATCGATCTTAATCAGTTGACTGAAGGTGGCCTGGACCTTGCCATTGGCAAAAATAAAGTGAAGGTCGATTTACAACAGCCATCACCCAAACGGAAAATCCACCTTAAAAAACAATGATTGAATACATATTTTTTTGTTGATATATAAGCTATAAAACTATTCCTTCTTGGAACTTTCAATAATTCTTAAATCTCATTGCGACCAAAATATGGTTATCTCTCTTTGTTTGTCCAACCGTAAAATTGTTATTTTGATATATACTTTAAACAAAACGTCATAGATATTATAATATGTTTCCTCATGCAGGTCAATATGCGAAGTATAATCGTGAAACGTAAAACAAAATGGAAAATTGTTAGCACATATATACGAGTTGTCAATTGATTCTCTTTTGTTTAATTGAATTTTGATGTAGATGTAAAAGAGCATTCTCGAAGATTAATAAGTATAATCTTTAACTTATTTGACTCATCTTCAATTAATACTGTATTACTGCTGTATTACACTTGATTCTTAGCATTTCTAGATTTTAATATGAGTTTCAGTATAAATAAGCGAAAGAGATGTTGTTTTTTATAGATATATATTATTTCAAATTTTATTGCATGAATTTTTAGAATACTAAAATAATTTTATAAACAAGTAAATTTTGAGTTGAAAGATAAAAACATATACTGAAGCAACAACGATAACGGTATAATAATAAATTCTTTATTTTTTTGAATAACAAATTCACTTATATATAAAATATATTAACTATATACATAGAAATACAAAACAATATTCTATGCATAATACTATCCTGTACTATATATATAGTGTATATAAGTTTAAATAATATATTTATTATTTGTATGTAAATTGATTCATATAAAATATCTACAAATATATTTATATGCGATTTATATTATCTGTATTATATTTAAATTTGTGTATCAAAATTATCATTTTTATTAGAAAATTTATCCTATTTTTATTTACGTAAATTTTTACAATTTATAAATAAAATTTTTAATTCTATAATTTATATGTAAGTCTAGTATTTATGTTTAAATATAAATGAAATACTAACCACAATAATGTATATTTAAGCAGATTAAATAATAACATATACGTTAAACAAAAATTAGTATGTATGTTTATGGATTCATTTTGTGGCATTTGCAATGTATGTTTTTCTCAAGGTTACTATATGTTTAGCCATTTCATAATGTATTCAGCGATCATTTTTACTTATATTATCATTTAATAAATTATAAACTATAAATATAGGTAAAGTATTTTTGAAAAGTGATTAATTATTTGACATTGAAAAAATTGAATTGGAAGTCTTAATATCTAATATTTAGCAACAATAATATCTAAAAATTAGCAAATCGATTGCAATAAAAAATTTTATATCAAAATTTGCTGAAAATTTAAAAATATAATATCATATGATATAACATATATCATATGATTAACTGAAATGTTAATCAATGCCTCTTTAATTTTTTTATAGATTTATTATACAATTTATAAAAATTATTATCTGTATTTAATATTAAAAATCAGACTCCATAAAAACATTTAATAAAACTTTGAAATAAAAATAGTTGCAAGTTAAATGGAAAAATGAAAGCAAAAATATTCATTAATTATTTTAATTTCTTTGATAAGAATTACCTTTTGTATTTTATTCTTTTATAGCTTGGAAAAAATTTATGTTATTTTTGATTATACATAGTTGTGTTGCATTTTTTAGGATGAGAGGCATTGTATGATTATTCTTTTAGAAAATTCTTATTTTAAATTTCTTCCGATGTTAAATTTAGTACATAAAAAATAATAATGTTAGATAATATAATTATAAAGTAGATCTTTTTTTTTATTCTATTAAACAATTGAAAATATTTTTAGTAGAAGCAACCATTTTAATAATTATATATAAGTATATATAATATTATAATCTTAACCTTAATCGTAATCTTAAAACTCTGTTGTCATTACTTCCCAATCATTAAGTTTTAACAACTTTCTAATATCTTCTTTGCAATAACAATATGACATTATAAATTCCTATTTTTATATTTTTTTCCAAATTGACATTTAACTTACAAGCAAGCAAATATACTCGATCAACGAATGACTATACTTAATTTAATAAATAATCTATTAACTACGTGTAAGAAATCAAACTTATAATAGTTATTTACGAATGCTGAGTTTATTTAGCATCTTTTACATTATTATAACTACGTTAAAAATCAATTATCTTGTAAGGTTATACAAAAAATTTAATAATAAGGTTATATAATAAAATTTTTTCCATTCAAAATAAAATATTTCAGCCCTCATTAATCATTACATTATAATATAATTATATATGCAAAAATTCTTGTTTGAATATTAAGTATTAATTATTGGAGTTTTTATTACCAATAATAGAACATTTTCATGTTTTCATTTGTAAACCTTAAATTATTTTCCAATTAATTATTTAAATTTAGATTCGACAAAATTTATAAGTATGAACATATTAAAAAAATTATAATTTGTAAAAATTATAATTATAATTTGAAAAGAAAATAATCAGTTCTGAATGTACAAAAATAAAAATTGTAAAGAAAAAATATGTTAATAAAAATCAAAATATTATGGAAAAATTTGCAGTATAATACTTAAAACAGAATATAGTTGATAATGGCTCAAGATATGAAAACCATTAATAAGAATTTACATTATAAATAATAATAAACAATAAGATGTATTATATTTTTAAGATAAATGAGCATTAGACTTTTTTTAGCTTAGAACGATTATTTTTTAAGATACTACATAAGTTGATAAATTAACAAAACTGTGAATATATACAATTTACATGTCTATATTCCAAATTCATTTAGGTAATATTATCAAATTAAATAAATAAATAAAATCTTGCCATATTACAAAATGAAAATTCAATGTTAAATTAAATTAAAAAATTCATCTATATGAAAGTTTTATAGAAAAATTTAGTAAAAGAAACAAACAGCTTATATTCATAATTCAATATATTCAATATATTCGATATATTCAATATATTTAAAGACGAATCAATAATTTAATTTCTCTTGACGAAGTTACTTTGAAATTATGTTATATATGTTGTTATATTGTTATAGTTATATATTTTATGTTGTTATAGCAACTAAATAATTTTTAAATATTTATTTTCATTGTTATTTAATAAAAATTAATTTTAGACAAAAAAATTTTTTTTTAATTTTGTGGAAAATATATTTCACCATTACTTTGACAATGACTTCTTTAATAAAATTTTTCAAATGTGATATGTGATTAAGTAACTTTTATTAAGTAATTAATATTCTTTTTATCTTTTGATTATAAAGAATATATTACTCAGAGTTAGATATTCAAGATATATTTTTGTAAGTATAATTTTATAGTCCTTAGTTAACTTTAAAATAGAAAACTTGCAACATTCAACATAACTTATTCTTTTCATATCTTTAAAGTCTTAAAACAATTTTTTTTATTCTTTAATTACATCTCTTAATGAAAATGAACTTGAAAAATTAAATAAAAATTTTACAAAATATGAAATTTTTTAAACTCGTCATTTAAAATAATTAAATGTCGCGTTTGTAGTAAAATATATTTAATTTTATTGTTATAATTATGATAGTTTATTTATTAATTTTAGTTTAAATAAAATTATTATAATACTAAGATGAAAATTCCCGAATAGAATTTTTTTAATTAAATAATTTTTTATAATATTAAAAATGTTTATATATATCAAACTAAAATATTTGTGTTTAAAATTTTCTTAATTTTTTTTTAAGGAAAACGTTTTATTTAAATGTTTGTATAATTAAATATACTCGCCGTTTATATGATAAAATTTTTATATTTAAATATAAATAAATTAATTTGTATTAGAATTAAACTTAATTATAGCTTGTATAATGCTAGAAGGTAATTAGATTGAATATATAAAAAAACTTGTGGAATATGCAATCATAATATAAATCCTAAATTTAAAAATTTTTATTATATTTTTATTGATTTAATTAAAAAAAATGTATTATTATATATGTAATAAATCTAAAAATATAATAATTTAAATAATTTATATTTAACGATATATCACTATAAAAATTGTAAATGTATAATTTTATAATTTTACTGTCGAAATATTATTCTAATTAAACAGTTCTTTAATTTTTTTTTAATCAAAATATTTTATGATTTGAATTTAAAATTAAAAAATTAATGTTTAAAAAATTATCAAAAAATAAAAAATTAGTGCTACATCAGATATATATTTATACTCTTTGTAAAACGATTCGTAAAACTTAGATTGTTTACGACTATACGCTATGAAAGCAAACAAAAACTACAGTGTCGTTTGTTTGACCTCTACATTCGTCAAACGAAAACATCAAACTTTATCACTTAAAACGTTTTGCATGAGATAGAAAATATACGTTATGATTTCATATACTTGGATACAAATATTGAATTTCTTATTAAAAATATAATTTTTATAAATGCTTATAAAAAACTGTTAATGTAAACTTAAAAAATATTTTTATAAAATAGGTAAACATTTAGTTCAACATTAATTCATAATTTTATACATATTTTGTGTATAAAATATTTTTGTGCATTTTTATTCATTTTATGAAAAATATTAGAATATTTTTTCCAGTACGCTCATTAAATTTTTATTTAAATCAAGCATGAGACTGTGCTGTTATCTGGCGGTTTTACTTAAAATTAATATTGGAACAATTAATAGTTTTCACTTGATAAAAAAATTATTGAATAAAGATAATTTTTTAATGCCTGCACATTCAGCCCTCATACTTTCGTATAAATTAGTATTTAAATAAAGGTTTTAGAAAAATAATCTATCATGAATACCTAAATTTTAGTTGAACTTGCCACTCACTAAAATTTAGATTTTATTATGTATTATATATATATATCATCAATATGTATCTAAGTATATTATATTGTTTAGAATTTTTTCAAAACTTTAATAAATATAATGTAATTTTTTTTATTTTTAACGATATTTGATATTTACATAGTTTTACGAATTAATACGTAAATAAAAGAAATTAACGTATAAATATCCGTATTGCTATAATTTTATAATTTTCACTAATTTTAATCTGTCATTATTAAACATTAAATAATTAAGTAATAAAATTCATAATTTATGTTGACATTTGTACATCTTTATAGAATAACTAAATAAATATTATGACAGCATATTAAGTAAGTTTATGTCTTTAGATTTATTTCTAAAATATAAAAAAAATTATTTTAAATGTTTATATATTATACAAATAATTTTTAATGGAATAATAAGTTTGGAATTTTCTTTTTTTTTGTAAATTTTAAATACTATAAGATATTTTTCGAAATTCTAATAATACAAATTATAAATGAGTATTATATTATAAAAGTTAAATCAGTTACATGGAGTAACTTAAAAGATAACAGCTTTGGTTAATTTTTTCACAATATAATCACAATAAAATTAACTTTCTTTCAAATTCCATTTTTTATTATAGTCTGTTTCAGAATGTGATTGTGAAGCCACTAGATGTCCATACTAGTTTAGTATACTCTACACTTTATAGAAGATTGCGGCTCCATTTTTTGATATAACTATCTATCTATATATGTAACTGGTATACGTAACAACGAATTGAAGAAGCTCGAATTTACGCCATTGTGATTAGAATCAGAATAAAACACGTATTTTCCAGTTACTACTTAGCAGTTTGTGTATTACATTGTAAAGTTCGATAAGTGACATTAAAAAAAGAAAGTATTTAACGATTTAAACTTAAAGTGGCTCGCCTCGAATTCTTTTTGGGCCTACTTAGAATTTATTGTCTCTACTATTGCTGTTATTGGCACGCGAGAAGCCACCATCACGGATAAGGCAAGTATCATTTTTTCTTATGAAGTATTGATTATAATTATTTAGTTATTGAAAATTATCTACCACATAGATTTCAGTGTATTTAACAATGTCTCATAATTGATACTTTGCTATCACGGTGTTAAGTGTTTTACGCGTTAATAAGAATTATTAATTATAGTTACTTGGAAAAATTTTAAAACATATTTATGCATTGTTCCATTAGTATTACATCTTATCAGTAATACGGTAATATGATTTAAATGTTTTAAAAGTAGGCAATTGAATAGAAAATATAATTGTATATTTTTACATAATTTAAATCTATTTTTCAAATATTTGTTAATTGTGTTTGTACATTAAAAATTATTTTAATTTAAAAATTTTATAAATTTGTTAATTCTGAAGATTATGAAGATATTTGAATTTATATTTTTATAAATTTTTATTAGGTGTTCCATAAATGTTTAGAAAATATGTACAACAACTCAGGAATGATCGATCCATGGGAGCCAGGTTATGGTCCAACGGAAAGGAGAACACATTCAAATACAGAGTTTGATTATCGTAGTCCAGATTATAGAACACATCGACGAGATAGAGAGCGAGAAAGAGACAGATCAAGAGATAGAAGAGACCGAAGTAGAGAAGAACGTGAAAGAAGTTACAGAGATAGAGAAGATCGCTATGGGCGACAAAGAGATCGAGATTCCGTAGAACGAGAAAGAGATCGAGACAGGGAACGAGATCGTGACCGAGATCGTGAAAGAGATAGACGAAGAGATCGTGATAGAGATAGGGAACGTGAACGTAGACCTAAAAGGGATGATCGTAGTCGTGATCGAGATGATGATCATAGTCGTGAAAGTGCAGACTATGAACATGAACATGTACGTAACTATAGCGCAGCAATGGAAGGAGTTCATTATAAGAATCAGACACCTAACAATACAATTATGATTCGTGGACTTGCTCAGCACATAACAGAGAATGATGTATGTTATTGTTATTATTATTATTTAAAAAATAGTATTGACAAGTTGATAATACATTTTTTACATTTTGAAAACAGGTTCGACAAGATATTTTAAACTGTGGTTTAATGCCAAAAGATATCAGGCTCATTCGCAAGAAGGATACAGGTATATATTATATCACGACTTTATTTAATAGTGAATTTCGGTTACTGCGGTCTTTTATTTTTGAGCAATTTTATTTTTATTGGAGTAGTTCCTTAACTACATTTTGATTCCCAGTTCCTGATTCCTTCAATTAAAATATTTTGCTTATAAAAAGTTAGGGGCTAGAAGGTAAGTAATAATGTAGCATAGGTGCCAATATATATAAAACTAATAAAAAAAATAACTTTACTTAGAAATAAATAATACTATCATTAGGTAGTAAAAGTTTTATTGAAATTGGCAACTGTCAATGATCTGAAAGCAAAAGAAAATTATGAGATTAGCAAACCACACAAAATTCAAGACGTAAAATAGCAAATGTTAAAGGAAAAAAATTCTAAATAAAATTAAAACTAGCTAGATTCGGTCTAGCAAAGGTACTTTTCATAACGCACGAAAAATGCAGTGAGAAAGAATATGAGAGAAAATATGCAAGAAAAGCAGGAATAACGCTTCGTTCGATCGTTCGAAAACTCAGTCTCTATCAATGGTTGATGCTGTGACACATTGCCTGCCCTCTCCAAGACTCCCAGGCATTAACGTGGATTAACTCTGGATATCTGTGTATTTGCTCTGTATAGGTGCTTCGCGAGGTTTCGCTTTCGTCGAGTTTAACGCGACTCAGGAGGCCGCACGATGGATGGAGATGAAACAGGTAGAAAGAAGTTCAATCCAGTGTCCAAACCTCTTGATGCGTTGCTCAAAGTGCCGCGCCGACGCCCCGTGGCGCGACAGGGCACGGTAACGCAGTCCGCTGGGCTGCCCTCGCCAGCCCCGGCTGTGCACCTCAATAAAGGCTACTTCCATATACCATACCTTTACTTACTTATTATCTAGGAAACAACATTTTTGTTTGAGTTTTTTTCTTAACTCTTCATAACTTAACGTTACTGATAAATGTTCATTGAGCTGGATCTAAATATTCCTTATCCCTGATTCCTATGGATATTCAATCAAGTTGGATTTCTGCACCATGCATGTTTTCTTTTAACCTTTAATACCGTATGAGTTTTTCTTTTCTATTTTTTTTTAATTGTCCTATTATTTTATGCCAAATGTAGATATTTGTTTATCATACCAGGTCCATAAATAAATCCTGAATTCTTTTAGATTCAGCTACAAGTCTTTATCAGAAAAATTGTATTTTGATAACAAAAAATGTTTGTAAACGGAAGATCTTATTCGTGATTAAGAGAATCAACACTCAATGGCTCGAGAATAAAGAGTTTTTTAATTTATTTTCAATCTGAAAATTAACTTAATTGTTAATAAAGAATCTTATATACGGAAATTTTATAAACTAAAAAATTTTCATAGTCCGACAGCCTCAGTCAGAAAAGAAGCAAGTTTTCGGGAGAGATACAGAACCCAAAATTTGGGATTGAACAGGATAACACTGAAATCCTTTGTTTCAGGGAGTACTGATGCTACAGGAACAATATCGAGCCCTTATGCAGTATAGCATTCCTAAAGAAAGCCATTTAGATAAACTGCAAGCAAAAAATACACAAGATTGGCATTGTGTTAAGGTATACTGAATACTATATATTGTTATTTAATTTTTTCTATGTCAAATTTAATCAAATATATTTAATATTAAAATGGTGTTTAAATATTTATATTTAACTTTTAAAAATACTTAATAGAATAATATTAAATTATTGACAATTGATTGTATATTTTATAAAATATCATTTATTTTGTTTGAAATAATAAATATTAATTAAAGTCCCTTTAATTTTAGTGTGGAGCTCATAATTTCAAAAGGCGTGAAACATGTTTTAAATGCTCCGCATCACGTGCTGAAAGTGAAGAAGGAGGCGAGGGTAGTGATGAGGTCAGTCCACATCCAACAAACACAGTGCTTCTACGTGGTCTTGATGTTTTGACAACTGAGGATTCAGTTCTTCAGGCAATGCAAGCTTTATCTTCGCAACCTATTCGAAGTATTCGCATTGGTCGTGACAGTCTGACCAATACGTCGCGTGGTGTTTGTTACTTGGAAATGGGAAACGTTGTTGATGCCATGTACTTACATACTGCTCTTACAAAACAAGGTCTTCATGTTGATGGCAGAAAGCTTGAAATAGCATATTGTAAGCTACATCAGATTTCGGGTTCTGGTTCCTGGAAATCGTGTGACAATAATCAACGCTATACTCTAGAGGATGTTGCACAGTTAGCAGAGTACAGCGCTAATCTTTATGCAAAGACACCTGCGCAAAAAGCGCATTATCTACAGTATTATACACAATACTATCAGAATCAAATAATTCAAGGCTCAGCGATAACCTTGCCTTCACTTAACCAAACTGACCGAGTAAACGCGGCAGCAGCAGTAGCACAATCAGCTATACAACAGCTACAGGCCTCTAGGAAGATGGGTGACGCTGACGAAATGAAAAATAGACCGACTCCAACAGCTCCGGCAAGTACGACGCTTGCTATTGGAAGAGTTCCAGCACACTCAAATGATGGAAAGGTTTACTGTAAGCATTTTCAGAATACTTAATTCTTATTATTACATAGAATAATAAATAAAGATATGTAGTTATAAATCCCAAAAAAATTAGATATATTAATATAATCTGTACAAATAAATGGAAACATTAAAGAATTATAATTTTTCTCGTAATATAATAATAAATATACATTTTATAATTCTATAAATTAAAATATTCGATTAATTTAATCAAATAAGAAATTACAAATTAAATTTAAATTACTTAAGCGAATTCAATAATTATGTTTATAACATTAATTCATTATGTACAACCAAATTTTTATTTTCATAGATTTATTTATAGAATCAAGCTTTGACATTTTTAGCTGAAACTATAAATTATAACGATTTATTATATAGTTTTATTTAAAAAATTATGTATATTTAGTTTATGCCTGAATTTGTCTTTTAATATAGTAACTTTGACCAAATAATAAAATTAACAGAATTGTAATATTAATAAATAGAGACGATTGTAAAATAACATAAGTTAATAAATTGTATTTTAATTACAATATCATGACAAGTAGAATATAATAAATAAATATTTGCTTTTTATAGTAATATTTCATTTTAATCAATTAATACAGCATCTTATTAAATATTTCATATATAGCTGCTCCAGATGTTAGTACATACCATTATGATGAAACATCTGGATACTATTATGATCCTAGTACAGGATTATATTATGATCCAAATTCACAATATTATTACAATAGCCACATGCAGCAGTTTTTGTTTTGGGATGCTGAATCATTTTCATATAAACCAGCTCAACAAACTAGTATTTCAATTCCAAGTGGACAAATAAGTAACACAGTTGCAAGTAACAATTTAGCAACAGATGGAACAACACAAATAACTGGTTTCACAACAGATTCAGCTTCAGTAAATGATGATAGCAAAAAAAAAGAAACAAAACAGGATAAGGTCAAAGTGGCTAAGAAAATTGCAAAAGATATGGAGCGATGGGCAAAAACACTCAATCAAAAAAAGGAAAATGCAAAAAGTAATTGGACATCTGACTATCCAGGTATTGAAGGCTATCAAGGTGCAAACAGTGGAGCTGCAGATGCTGGTTATGCCATTTTAGAAAAGAAAAGTATAGCAACTTCAGTATATCTTGAAGAAGAAGATCTCACTGGTAACAATGGCTTGGTTGCTGCTTATGGTGGAGGTAGTGATACTGAGGAAGAAATAGAGGATGTACAACAGGAGGACAGACAGCATACTGATTGGAATAAACTTGCATGTCTATTATGCAAAAGACAGTTTCCTAGTAAAGAAGCTTTAATACGTCACCAACAACTTTCTGATTTGCATAAACAAAATCTCGAAAATTGGTACCAAGTTCGTGGACTTGATCCTAATGATCCGCAGCAACGAAATAACAAATACAGAGATCGTGCAAAAGAGAGAAGGGCTAAGTATGGTGAACCTGAACCACCACAACCTAACAAATTGAAAGAAAAGTATTTAAAAACTAGAGTAGATGAAATGGCTGTTGTTTATGAAGAACCAACAAGAACTGGAATTGGTTCTGATAACGTCGGTAATAAATTGTTGCAAAAAATGGGTTGGAGTGAAGGCATGGGTCTTGGTAAATCAAATCAAGGTAGAACAAGTATCATTGAAACTAAGCGTCGAGTCCCTACTGCTGGATTAGGAGCAAAATCTTCATCTTACTCTGCATTACCAGGATATACATATAAAGACTGTGTAAAGAAAATGACTTATATGCGTTATCAGGAACTGTCTGACTCTTAATTTGTTTACTTTTTTTTATGTGTAGTGGTTTCAATTTCTGCATAGGCTATATTATTATGTAATTTCGTAATAATAAAGATGTATTTTGTTGAGTTTGTAAATACAGTAAATCAATACTGTACTTTATAATTGAAATTTTAAGCAAACTAATAATAGCAGGTTTCAAAATTATCTTATAAATTTAAATATAATTTTAATAAAAAAATATAAACAATACTTTATATATGAAATATCGTTTTTATATACCTATAAACAAAGTGAAAATATTTATGAATTGCTTATTATTTTGTCTTACATTTTGATTATATATTAAAATTTCAATAAACTTTCAGATTTAAATATATAATTTATAATGCTATTCTATTATTAAAATTGTGTATGAAAAATAAAAAACAATAATAAATTAATTAAATGTGTTATTTAAATAAACCATCTTTACTTTTTCATTAATAAACAATAATTTTGGATATTAAAATTACTAAAATATTTATTCATAATATGAATATCTAAATACCATAAACAACAATAAGAAATATTTACTTTATTAGTTTTTTTTAAATTTAAACAAGTTAATAAAATATATATACATTGAAAATGTAGCTTCGTTTTTACATTTATAATCACTACTTTTAACTTACTAACTATTTACAGTTACTCTAAATTTTTAAATAATTTTGTGTAAGATAATGTAAATTTCTAAATATTTACTAAAATCCAAGAGTATAAAGGTCTTAATTGATAATTTAATACTTCATATTTAAGATCCTTTATACCATCAGTATCAAATCTGCTTGCTCCATTTTCTAAGTTTGTAAATCTTGTATGACTTGGAACCTCTTTTTTATGTGTTAACATATAATACTGTGCTACATCAGGACCAAATCTTGTAACCTACAAAATAAATTATTTTATAGTAAGAGAATAAATTTATATATATAAATACATAACTTTGAAGCTTATATAATATAAATTTTTAATTTCAATCACATAACACTAGAAATTTAATTGTTTTAAAGAGACTTATTCTATATTTTGTGAACAGGAATTTTAAATGAAAAAAGAAATAAAATACCAGATATCCTCTACTTTGCAATCTACTATAAAAATCATCATCTTCTCCACCCCATCCAAAAAATATATTTGAAAAACCATTAGCTGTTTCAAATTGCTGTCTTGTAAGTGCTATAGCTCCACCAAATAATCCAGTATAAGGAAGATTATACCTAAAAGTATTCACACTTGAACTCATATGTCTTGGCATTTTAGTGCAAGCATATATATTGTCTAAATTTTGAGGGATAAGATCGATATCTTGAAAAATGAAACAATGAAAGTCATTAGTCTTTATAGCTTCATTAAAACCTATATTAAAAAGCTTAGCTCGATTGAATTCTTTAATTTGACTTTGTTCAATTACAAAAATCCTATAATCTATATTTTGTAATTGCAAGAAAGGATGAATATAATTCATAAATATAGTCAATTGATTCCATCGATTTCTATAAGGAAGAATAACTGCTATATTATAGTATGGCTGACAATTTGTTGGTTTCCACTGACCACCAGGTAATATACCCAATCTTTGAGCTAATGCTAGTGGTTCCTCTTTAGGATTCTCATCTGGATACATAAGATATGAACTTCTTCTACCAGTAATACTAATAAAACAGGCATTGTTTTTTGGTGAATAAGATTGCTCAAGTTCTAAGATTATATTTTCTGTCTTTATATGATTATAATGTGAAGCAAACCTAAATGGATGTAGAGAATAACAAAGCACTATCATACCCATTATAGACCATGTCAGACCTTTTGTATATTCATATAGGAATCCAACCATCATTATAAATAAATTTATATATCTTTGCATGGCTGTTAATGCTTTGAAACAATCATTTATAACATTGCAATTTTTGCAATATCTAACTCATAAGCACATTAAAAACATTTTAAATCTTCATAATTTTTTAAATTAGTTCTTCACAAACACGAAATTTCCACAGTTAATAAATAAATATTTAGTTATTTATTAAAATTAAAAAAAAAGAATTAAAAGAAATACATAAAAAAGTAATAAAGATATAACAAAGCAATTTTATTATATATGTAATATCCCAGTTTTCATATACACAATAGAAGTTTCACCTCGCTAACACGCAGTATATAATAAATCGAATTAAAAATAATGTTCTGTCTAGTCTAGCTGTAATGCAGTATAAGACAAATTATTTTTTTAAGATAAACTTAATTTTAATTATTTTTCAATTTCGGAGATATAAAATGTATATAAAATTATATAATAGTTTTACTATTTAAATTCGCAATATATATTTCGCGCGTTTACGAACCAAATGAAATAAACCTTAAATTCATATAGGGACAAAGGTTGGATACGAGGAACATAGTACACTTTCTTAGTCATGCGTAGCTGAGATACAAATTTTTTGGTTTTAAATATGTTTACTGTAAAATTTTAGTTATTAATTATACATGCTTTAAGAAATACACGTAACACATTAAATTATCTTATTTTTAATATCTTGTTTATTTAAGGTTTTTATTATTTTTAATGAATTAATAAGACTATAAAATACTGTGATAAATATATTTATCACATATTATTAAGCATATAAAATTAGTAACTATATTGAAAAATATAATTTAATATAAATAATATATAATAATATATATTATATTATAATTATATTATATAATAATAATATATATTATATAAATCATAATAAATATAATCAATTTCTTAATTAACTGTTTTATTATACATTATATAAATATTTACGACATTGTGAATATATTTATTTAATATCTATAAATTTGTTTTAATAATCATAATATTATAATAACAAAAATGAATTTAATTTTGAATAAATGTTTGTAATTCAATTCAAAATATTAAATGATTTTGTATATTATTATAATAAATATTTATCAATATTCAATAGTAATTTAAAAAATATTTTTACAAAATAACGGTATTACAATTCTAAAAAAGAAAAAAATTTTTAATATTTCGTTACTAGAGGGTCTAGAATTTAATATTTGTTTTTTTTTAAAGAATACACGACTTATACATATCATTAACGCGGGCTTTTAAAGATCTAATTTCAAAATTCTATATCACAATAAAATAAATACACTGCTATATTTTTTATATTTGTAAATTAGGTTAAAACAGCAATATATAAAAAAACCTTCTAATATAATAAAGAAAATTTAATTATATATTAAATGATGTTGGATAGATGTACAGTAGTAATTTTCATTTGTAATGAGAAGATCAAAATGATAAAAAATTCATGTTTGAACACAAAGGCTGTTACATATGTGCACAGATATTAAATACATCAGAAATTTTAAATATAAACTCAATTATACAACTTCAATGATAATATAATTATATTAAACTAGATATAGATTAATCTTAAATTATGAGTTTCATTAACAGAACCAGTTAATGCTTAAATAAAATATGGATAGTATTTTATAAATCATCTCTCCTTTTTTAACAAGATTAATCTAAATCATTAATCTTGCTCAACACTAATCTTTCAGTAACGGATAAGTAAAACCAAGAAATGATAAAACGATAAAACATATTTTTAAAAAATTTAAGAAAATTTAGAATATAAATGAATTACAAAGCAATTATATATTATTTACATATAAATAATAGAATACGTTTAAATGATTCTTAAATAAATAAGTATATAAGAAGCAGTTTAATAATAATATAATAATAAAATTTTATATATAAACAAATTTGAAAAAATTAACATTTGTCTATTGTTGAGTAATTTCATGGAATACATACAAAAATTGAAGGTAACTTAACGAATTTAATTTATTTTTGTTTTTATAAGAAAGTTTTATATAATAGACTAGAGGTTTATTATTTACTCCAGTCTATTATATATATTTATTAATTTAATGATTGAAATTGTAGTATTATTTTGCTTCTTGATGAAAAAAATATTTATAAATAAGTCTATTAAATAAAATGTAATAAAATATTAAAATAATTATAAACGATACTCTATACTTTTTATATTTATATTACATTCATATGATTTTATTTAATATATGAAAAATATATATATATTTTAATACATGTGACAACTGAACAAAATAGATATAAATATAGAAAAAAAGTAATAAAATGAGGAACATAGAAAAAAGAAATAGAGGGAGATACGGACTCATAAATAAAGAGAAAAAGAAAATGAGGTTGATTGTCAAATTGGAATAAATGGGAGAGGAATATAGCAGTAGACAAATTATTCAAATCCTATAACCAAATAAAACCGTGCACTTCTGACTCAGTACAATATTATATATTATTATATATGTGTATAATTATATATATATAATATATTATTATATATATATATATACTTATACAATATTATGTACACAATACAATAATTTAAAAAAAAAATGAATAATTAAATGGTAAAGTATTCGTGGTAAAATTTACAACTTCAAAAAAATTTTTGTTGATAATATTTTCATAAAGTAATAAAATAATAATAAATTCAAGTTGCGCGATAAAATTTTAACAATTGCTATTGAATTATCTATAAATGTATAAATAATTAATAAAAAGTTCTCGAAATTTGAAATAGTATGGGCATTTTACAAAGTTTCAAAAGAATCAAACGAAGAACATGTTTAAGAAATTGGTTCTATTTTGTTTTTAACAACGTTCATTGCTACGTAAAGTTAGTTATATAACCAATCTATCTTACAGTCTCGACTAAGTGACAAACCAATTTAATAATAAAATATCCAGCGAATACCATATACAAAACTATATTATGATGTGCATTTTAAAATAAAAATTATGGTTATTATTGGTTTAATGTTAATTACAAAATAATAAAAGATTAAGTAGTATATTTTTTTCAGAAATAATTGAAAATTATCTTAAGTACAATTTGATAAGTATAAATGTTTTTGAAATATAAGCATTTAACAATTTTGACATTATTTATTCTGATGTTTTATTACAGAAAATAAACAGTACAATAATTAAAAAAACACAACCACATACAATATTTATTAATACGATAGTAAATACGGTGTATTGGGGAACAACTTATCAATCTATAGAAATGATTATACAATGCATACTTTAATAATTCATTTCAGTAATTATTTATTTGGATAATTTGAAGAATAATGAATGCGAATATAATCTGTAGAAATTTATGTCATTTCACATACTAAAATTATTATTACAGTAAAAAAATATATAGTTGCAGTTGATTAATAACATATGTCAGCCAACTTTTCAGTTACAACTAAAAAGTTAGATATATTTGTAACTGAAGTATAGATTATTTATGATTTCATACACATACTTTAATTTTTAATTATCCAATCGATAATTATATATTCTTTTTAAAACATATATAACATTTCCCAACATTTATGTAGCTATTAAGGAATATTTTTTTAATTATTAATATTATTGAATATTATTTTAATTTATTATTTAATATAAATTAATTATTAGCATAGATTATTAAAGATTTCATTACCTTATAAGAATGTCCCCCAATAATGAAATGGGCAGTTTGTTGTACATTTATAATATACAACAATCCTATAGAAATAATGGGTGAGTAAACGTAGCTGACAGAGTATTTAAAAGAAGAGCTTGGTAATAATATGTATATGAGATAACTATTTTAAGGATTTGAAAATGTATGCAAATAATGTCCATTGAATCTTTTAATAGAGTGTATGTATAATATTTTAAGTAAAAAGAAATGTTGAATCTAACTACTAATATGATCTTCATTAATATTTGCTGTAGATGCATAAAAATTCGAAAATAAAGCGTTGCATATATTAATAAGGTAAATATTTTTCAGATAGAGTTAAAAATATATTATAGTAGTAATCAATTTAAGTTATGTTTGCCTCCTTTACATTTAAGACCTAAAATAAAAAATTAAAGTTTTTTTAATTATTTTCTGTTTTAAATTTTATATATTTTATATAATAAGCAATGATTTTTAAGTATAATTTAAGTGGAAAGATGTAAAATATCATCTCATTATAGATAAGGCCATCAAAATAAGTACACTAACTTTGTAGCAAAATTGCATTTTTTGATCTTCATTGCACATGTTCTAAACAAACTTTATACAGTCTTCATTATACTAATTTCATGTTCTATAATTATATGTAACAATATTTTTAGTTTTAATTTCTACATAAACGTCAAGAAATTATATATATAATTTTTTATTTCCTTATTATATGTATAATAATTTAATTTTTTCAAAATACTGTACAGAATATTCATATTATTTGATCATAAGAGATATTTAAAAGATACAATTTTTATAGGAACGTGAATATTGAAGTATTTTTGTATATGAATTTGTTTAATTCTTGCATATAAGCAGTTTTCAACTACCTGGTAAATTTAATTATTGTATTAATAAATAATTATATTTATAAAATATATATATTTGAACAATTATATCTAATATATTATTTATAATGTAAATTATTATTTATATATAGCCTCTAACTAGTATGTAATTATTTGTATAAATAAAACAAAATTTAATTATATATATAATTTAATTTTTATACAAAAATGTATTAACATTAATGAATTAAAAAAATTTGATCTAAGAATAATTAATAAAGTATAAAATATTAAATAAAAGTATGCAATATTTTAATTCATTTTTCATTTAAAAATTTTCCATTGTTTAACATTACAATTATAACAAAAAATTATAAATTGTACATCTACAATTTATAATTTATAACATAATAATATATCAGTTTACTGACTTTTGTCAATGTACTAAAATAGCTCTTGAAGATAACTCCATTGATTTTTCAACCTTTATTTTCGGTACATTTAAGCATTGAAATATGTTTAAGGTATCTTCTACAAACTTTTCAACCATCTGCTCTGTATGTTTTGGTGTTGGAGCTATTCGTAATCTTTCTTCTCCCTTTGGAACAGTGGGATAGTTTATTGCCTGAACATAATGACCTTTTTCTTTTAATAATGTATCTGCAATTTGACTACAGATTAATGGGTCTCCTATCTGGTAATTAAATAGAATTATTTTGTTTATATTCATAATATAAATATATTGATAATATAAAACATAAATATATATTTACTTTTATTGGAATAATGTGTGAACAAGAAGGAATAACAGGAAGTCCAGCTGTAATAAGATTGGATTTCATATAGGCAACAATTTTTTGATGAATTGATCGTAATGTTCGTCCTTCATTTGATGCAAGAATTTGTACTGACGCTAAAGCTCCATAAAGAACTGTAGGTGGTAGAGATGTAGTAAAAATAAAACCTGCTGCATAACTTCTTATCATATCTACTAATTTTGTTGAACTAACGATATACCCTCCTACATTTCCAAAAGCTTTTCCTAATGTACCTGATATTATATCCATTTTATGAAGACACCAATCTCTTTCGCCAATACCAGCCCCTGAAAAGCCATACAAACCAACAGCATGTACTTCATCGACAAATGTTAATGCACCATATTTATGAGCTATATCGCATAATTCTTCATGAGGTGAAATATCTCCAGACATAGAATGAACTGTCTCAAAGGCTACAATTTTTGGAAGTTTTTTATCTACTTTTAATAATAATTCTTCTAAATGTGCAACATCATTATGACGGAATATATGTTTTGGAACATTACTATTTCTGATACCTTGAATCATAGAAGCATGATTACTTGCATCAGAAAATATATGACAGCCTGGAAGACTTTTAGCTAAAGTAAACAATGTTGAATCATTAGCTACAAAACAAGAACTAAATAAAAGTGCTGCTTCTTTCTGGTGTAATAATGCTAATCTTCTTTCCAACATCTCATGACCCATAGAATTACCCGAAATATTTCGGGTACCACCAGCACCAGCTCCATATTTATTTAATGCATCATGAACAGCATTAACAACACCAGGATGTCTAGACATTCCAAGATAATCATTTGAACACCATACAGTAATAGATTTTTTCCCCCATGAATATTCCATAGCAGCAGGAAATTCTTGTGCTAAACGATTTACCTTTTTGAAAACTCTGAAATATGCCACATTATGGATAAAAAGTTTTTAAAAAAACATTATTGAGCTTGAAATCTGTTTTTACCTGTAAGAATGGTCCTTTTTTTTACGAATAATCTGCTCATAAAAAAAGTCCTCATATTGAAAAGTATCTTTGATTTTAGAATTATTAGTCAAATTAATAACGTCCTCCTTGATCGCAGGACTTGCTTCTTTGATAGCGTCGGGCTTTTTAGAAAGAAATGGACACTTATTAGCGCTCGGGTCAGGTTGGATACTAGCAGTAGTAACAATAGTTGTATCAAGTGGCATTGGATCAGACAATTTGCTGAATAATCTGGACATGACGGGACAGTGTTGTCGATAATTCAAAATGACAGAGGTTCCATAATTGCAAATATAATTCGCTGGCAGACGAGTTAAAAAGGGACAAGGCATATTTCCTAATATATATAACAATTATAAACAGTGAATTACAAGATTAGCTATAAAATTTTTTATAAGATCAAATGAGAAAATAAAGAGAATCTATAAATCTAACCTGTATGATTGAAGCCACAGCTGTTTTGCAGCAGACAATGACGAATAATCTTTGAATAGAAAAACTACAATTAAAAGGTTAGAAGTCAGCAGTCACTTTTGCATACAATCAATATTGTAGAAACAAAACTAGTTACTAAAACGAAGTAAGAAAATTCGAATATATATTATAGCCTTTAAGCATTTCTATTAAAAGAGAAACAAATATTGGATAAATTTTAAAGTACATTGAATTATGTGACCATGACTAGCTCGATATGACCGCGAAAAAATGAAAGTCGACCAATGTCTAAATTATATGAGATATGATGAATGGAAAAATGAGATATAAAACCACAAAATATAGGTTGATTGAATAGAAGATGGTTTGTTTATAATATATATACTATATATACTATATATAGTATATATATACTATATATACTATATATAGTAAACGTGCGTATTAAATATTAAATAATATGTTTTAAAAATAATAATAAAATTCAAAATTTAATATATTGAAATTTACTTCAGAATCTGATTTCAAGTAAATTTGTTGTGATTCAAAGGTACTTGAAGATTATTTGTTAAATATTAATATATTAAAAATCAAAAGTTTTAACTGAATTTTTTTAAGTGCAAAATCAATATTTGTCTATAAATTTGTAATTATTAATCATTTACAAATGTAATATACAACCTTTTATTTTGTAATTATTTCATTAAAAATTGCAAGTTATAAATGGATTTGTTAAGCTTATTATTTTTATACACTGGATACTTCATATAACTGTTATATGTATATATATTTCTTTAAAAATTTAGTTTTTTCTTTAAATATTATTGAGATTATTAAAATATGATACATATATAAAATATTTAAAAAAATAAAAATATAAAGCATATTTTTAAAAACATTATATCTTCTGTATTTTTATTTCATATTTAATTTGATTTTCATATGAAATAATCTTTACAAATATTATAAATATTTACAAAAATATCCAAATTTAAAATTTGATGAATTAGCTTAATGTAAATGTAATTTCGTTTAACAAAAAAAGACAACAAATATATAAAATTTAATAAGACAGAAAGTTTCTGAAAAATTATTATTAAAGATTATTCAAAGTCATAACGATAAAAATAATATTGATTTTATCCATATTTTAAAACAAATTTTAAAAAATTAAAAAAAATGTGCAAATTGACTTTATTAAATATTTCCTTGATAATAAAATTATGAGAGATATTTTCAAGTCCAAATATTTCAATTAAAAATACATTGATGTATATAAATATCTTATGCAAATATTTTATTTTAATATTTTATATTACCATTGTTGTCTGTTTTTGCTATAATTTAATTTATAATATATTTTATAAATTATATTTTTATGCTAAATTTAGCATGTGTATACATACGACGACGCACTAAATTCATTAATATAAGTATTTATGACATTATTGTATTATTACATTTGAAATATTATACCTTAATTAACGCTGCTATTAAAAACAAATTAAAGTGATATTAAAGTTCTTATATAGACACTAAAATTTTTTAATTTATTCATTTTCAAATGGATATTTGAAATAATTAAAAATAGAATATTTATGGTTTAATTTTCAAGAAATTATGTTTTATGTGTTAACATTGTCTATTTTTGATATATACAGAAATTCCAACAAGGAACACGCTTTTTAATCAATGCAAATCGTGTTCTATTTAAACTTACTTATTTACAGTCGACGATAATTATTATTTGGTCAATTTCCTCTTTTCCACAAGTCATGATTGCTAGTTTATTAAATACCATAACCAGAATAAATTAAGTTAGTTTATTACATAAACTTAGCTTAATTTTTGAAATAATTATAAATTACTGATACTTAGGAAACGGAACAAAAATTAATAGTACAACTATTAATATTGAAAAATTCAATAAATAATCAAATAATGTTTACCATATATAAAAATTGGAACAAATATTAACATATACCTAATATATTTTATTATATATTTATTATGGTTTGATTTATACAACATAAAGCTAAAAATTATTAATATTAATCATAAAAATTTTAAATTAGAAATGACAAATTTCTAAAGGAAATATTGTATTAAAATGTTAAATAGGAAATGACAAAATTTTTAATGAAAAGTTGTTTTAAAATTTTAAATAACAAATGATTTTTAGTTTTCACAATTGTTAAAAATTGTTAAAAATATATTCTCTAATTAAATTATTTTAAATATATTTTTATAAAAGATTGAATAATTTTATAGAAATTGGTATACATTTGATTACTAAAGAAAAGAAATAGTTTTTTAATTCTTGTAAGTTATCTTTTGAAATCTTTATTTTTATTTACAAATATATTAGGAAATAAAGAAATTAGTATTGATAATTATATAAATTATTCACTTTTTCTTTTATATACCTTCGTCGACAAAAAACAATCATAGTTTCAAAATCAATTTTTTTAAAATTTATTTATAAATTTATTTATCGTTTAAATCTGTCGTATAATATGCAATCTTGATGTTTCTATGCATTTAAAATAATTTTTAAATTAATTTTTTTGTATACTTGCACTGACACTAATTATTATATAAGAATTAATTAATATTTAATATTTATATTAATGTTAAATATTTGCAATCTACAAAGCCGAACTTTTCAAAGATATTATATTTTTAATAGAAATAAATATCAAATATAAAACAGCATCTCTAATTATAAGATTAAAATTAAATAAATTAATAATTTTATCTATATTACATTTTAATCAAATTCAATTTTATGAAATCATGTATACTATTAATTTATAATTAAATTAAAAATATTCATAAAAATAATGTTTCATATGGTAGTTTAAAATTTTACCGACAATAAATTCTTTTAATAGTACTTATTGATTGTACTAACAGTTTAATCTTAATCTTCTTAAATGAATTATTCTTTTTCAGTTATTCAATAACTATTCTTAAAATAGAAAAAAACTATAAAATTATCATTATGTACAAAGAATTAAAAATCTATGATAAACTCAAGTACATATTATGTTTCTCTAAAGAATTAATTTTCTTCTGCGTTCTTAAAAAAAAGTATTGATGAATTAAAAATGAAGCTCTAAAAATTTTAATTGAATTAAAGCAAAAATAAATATTGTATTTACAACGGTAAATTGTTAAAAAATTACTACTATTCAATTATATAAATAAATATTTTTTAAATTTATATTCGCATTTATTTGTTTGTTTATAATTTATAAACAATAGAATTTTAAAAACATAAAATATTGCCTTAAAATTGAAGAAATGCATTAGTAGTACAAACTCATAAAATAACATAAATTGAATTATAATAGTTCTTTTTGGTTTATTTATAATAAAATATTCTTTAACATGTTTATAAAAATTAATATTGTATAATAAAAATATTCCGGTTAACAATTTAACAAATCTTAACATATTTTTTGAAGGATCGTAAAAATAAATTTTAAATATAACATTTGTAGAAGTTGTTAAAGGTAAGATAATTTTTTCATGGATTGAATATTAAGAAAATCAGTGATAGAACTAAAAAAATATTAATTCGAGGATTAGAAAAGTATAGTGAATAAGAAGAGTAATAATACCGTGAAAGACGTAGTCCACAAATTACCAGGAACCATTTTTCTAAATAAATAAAGCTCGAAGAAGTTAGAATTCCAGTATTGAAAACACTTATTAAGAAAGTAATATTTTGAAAGTCTGGTAAAATTCACTGTTATAGACACAAAAATTAAAAGATAAGGGCAAAAGTAGTAGCAATGTTCTTCGTATCCTCCATATAAATTGTACAATCAACTGGACGTGTACGCCGTTCTCTAAACTACTCATGGAAAAATGTTATTGGTGTGCGTGCGGGGACACGGTAATTATTATTTTTTGCAAATTCATCAACTGAGTTAATCGAACGTGCGCGTCGTTCATACGATCTACCTTGAAAGCGGCCTTGTGAGCTTTCATTCTGGATTTTAGTAATAGTTTTCAAAATAAAAAACCTATATGTATACGTTTTTAACCATTGTGTATTTGCCTTATTTTAAAAGGACCGGAATGCATTTTATTTATTTTTAAATAAATTTATAACAAATGTTAATATCTTCGTTCAAGTACCATACAGCATATTTCACAGAAAGCAGTTAAAATTGTTGTTTATTTTAAATGTAAATACATTATTTATTAAGAAAAACACGTTTCTTGCTGTTTATATATTTAAAATTGTATATTGTATAATTGTAATAATTTGTAATATGTTACATATATATTTAAGTATCTTTTATTTTAATAAATTAATCCTTGTTTATAAATTGCATATATTTATTAACAATTTAAATGATTAATACATTATCAATCAATGATTAATTTATATTAAAAAATCAATAATTAATTTAATTATAAGTATGAATATTTATACAATAATTGAAATAAATCTTGCCTTTATATATATATACTATGTATTTAAATAATTTAATCTATTATGATATTATTATATACTATTTTACGGTTTTGTATAATTTTTATACTTTCTACATAAAAAATTAAGTAGATAATTACTATAAATATCATTATTTATTTTGTTTAAATAAATTTCACAGTCACTTTTCAATTCTAATAATATTTTTCTTTTGTAATAGTTTGTTTACAAGGTCTGTTTTTTATATAAACAGATTTTATAAATGTTTGCCTTCAAATTTTTTGCAATAAAAAATTTTCATTTCAAATCAATTGGCACTTATCGTAACCTTTATGTAAGTTTAGGTAGATTTAACTGTTGTTATATACTCTAAAACAATATTAATTATAATAGATCATGCATTTGTATTAATTAAAATTTATTAAACCACTAGAGCTGTAATATAAAAGCATGCATGTTATGGTTCAAGAGATTTACTTTGCTTTAAAATAATATTTTAAATTCTTAGAGAATATGAATGTATACTTCATTATTTGTAACTGTATTATATAAAAGAATGGTTTTACAATAGTATTATTTATGAAAAAAATAATATAATTCCTTAATTATTTAATTTTAAAATAATTTTTAATGTTCACAAATATATCAAAATTAATATTTGCTTAAATTTTTTTTTATTGTTGATATGGCAAAGGATAATTGTTTGTCGATAAATTACTAAATTAGTTAACAATGTAATTAGAAATTTAATTAAAAAATGATAAAAGTATGTGTATAAAAGTATTTTAATTATGTAATGATAAAAGTAGTTTAATGAACCGAGTATTCATATCTATGATGTATATTTATGCATACTTATGATCAATGCATAGGTGCAGCGAGGAGATAG